AAATTGTATGATTCCATTAATATGAAATTACTGCAAAAGCAAAACAACTAGGACAAAAAACTGTGGTTGCCAGGAACTAGGGGTGGGGGTCAGGTTTGCCTACAAGGGGGCAGCAATGAGGGAATTTTGTGGGGTGATGGAAATGTCCTATAAACTGATTGTGCTGGCATTACATGGATCTATACATACATTAAAACTCACAGAACTCTGTACCTTAAAAAAAGAAGTTTATCATATGTTATTTGAGGGGGAAAAAAAGAATAATCTGGCTGTGTAGTTTTATTCTCACACAAGAACATTGGTGTTTAACAAATCATCCCAACACTTGGTAGTTTAAAACAAGATTTATGTAGTTTTTAAAAAAATATTTATTTAGTTTACAAGTCTACAGTTTAATGATAGGCTGAGCTCATTATGAGCTTTTCCTTGTTGCTTTATCAAGAGATAACTGATATGAGGCCCTACAATAATCAGCTCTCCATTCCTTTCTGACTCAAGCTGCTACTTTTCTATCCCTACAGTTCACTCTGTGTCAACTATGCTGGCTTCCTTGCCATTCTCAAACATGGAGGCAGTGGCAGTTCATTCCCCCTAGAACATTCTTCTTTGAAATATCTCTTTGGCTCACTCCCTTACCCTCTTCAAATATCTTCTCAAATATTTCAATGAAGCTTACTCTGACTAGGTACTGCAATCTACCTCTTACCAGATTTCACTTACCCTATTCTTTTTCTGGTGTCATTTAACCTTCAAACTTATATAATTTTTGTGTGCTTATCATTTTTCTTAACCCATAAGAATAGAAGATGCACAAAAGACAGATATCTTCGTTTTGCTCATGGACCTCTAGAACAGCGTCTGAAGAATAGAGCACATAGTAAGTGGTCAATAAATAAGCTACAGTATGAAGACAGTGGAGGAAAGACAGTATTAGTGGGGAAAGATACATAGATCAATGACACCACATAGAGAACCCAGAAACACTCATACAAATTAAAATGCACGATTTTAGACAAAAGTGCAAAGTAATTCAGTGGAGTAAATAGCCTTTTCAACAAATGGCACTGGTGCAAATGGACATCCATAGGCAAAAAAAGTAAACCTTGACCTAAACTTCACACTTTATAGAAGAATTGACTCAAATGGATCACACATAAATATAAAACATAAAACTACAAAGCTGTTTAAAAAGATATACCAGAAAAAAATCTTTGGGATCTGAGCCTACACCAAGAGTGCTCAGACTTGATACTAAAAGCACAATCCATACAAGGAAAAATGTATGAACTGGATCTCAGCAAAGTTAAAAATTTTTATTCTGTGCAAGTCCATGTAAAGAGGATGAAAAGACAAGGTACAGACTGCAGACTGGAAGAAAATATTTGCAAACCACATATCCAACAAAGGGCTATATATATAAATATATAGAATATATATAGAATATATAAAGAATACTCAAAACTCAACAATGAAAACACCATCCAATTAAAAAATGGGTAAAAGACAGACATCACCAAAGAGGATGTACAGATGACAAATAAGCACATGAAAAGATGTTTAACATCATTAGCTACCAGGAAAAATCACATGAAAACCGCGATGAACTATCTATCACTACATATGTTAACAGAATGGCTAAAATAACGATAATACCAAATGCTAGTGGTGACGCAGAGAAGCAGCATCACTTATAAACAGCTGTTAGGAAAGTAAAATACAATCACTGGAAAACAATTTGGCAGTTTCTTATACAACTAAACATGAAACTATCAAACAATCCAGCCAACTGCACTCTTAGGCATTTATCCCCAAGAAATGAAAACACATGTTCACACAAAAAATCTATACACACATGTTCATAGCAACTTTATTCATAATAGCCAAAAACTGTAAACAGCCCACACCTTCAACAAATAAATGGGTTAAACAAACTGTGGTACACATATACATGGAATACTATTCAGCAATAGAAAAACAAGAACTACGGATACATAACACAACTTGTATGAATCTCCAGGGAATTATGTTGAGTGAAATAAGCCAATCTATCTCAAAAGGTTACACGATGTATGATTCCATTTATATAATATTTTTGAAATGATAAAATTTTAGAAGTGGGTGGGTGGTTCGTTCCCGGGTTTCAGCACCAAAAAAAAAAAAAAAAAAAAGTGGGGAAAAGATGAATAGTTATTTACTAAGGTTGGGAAGGGAGGTGGATGTGGTTATCAGAAGGCAACAGAAAGAATTCCTGGTGGTGATGAAATCGTTCAGTGTCTTAACTATGGTGGTGCATACATAACTTACATGTGATAAAGTGTAAAACTGAGCACACACACATAAGTGAGTTTCAGTAAAACAGGCAAAATCCTCCAAACACGATGGGTGGATGGTATCAACATTAATACCTAGTTGTGATATTATACTACAGTTTTGCACAATGTTACCGATGGGGGAAACGGAGTAAACTGTATAGGGGATCTCTCTGCATTACTTCTTACAACTGCATATGAATCTACAATTATTTCGATAAAAACTTCAATTAAAACAAGGAGAGTGGTCTAATTCCTAGATCTAATATACACATAAGAACTGCAAAAAGCAGCTGAGATAGAATAAGAACAGTGGCAAGAAAAAAGTGGAGACAAAAACAGAGCACCATGAAAAACTAGCTACCTCAGAAAACTACCCTGGTAATTTCTCTTTTTCCCTCCACAATCTCCTACCTCTCCAGCAACCACAGAAGTTGATTTCAAATAACCGTCACAGGAAAACCCAATTTATTCAATAATGTGTAATAAGAACAGCATAACATTAATTTAGTAAAAAAAAATAATTGAAGAAGCAAAAGGTACAAAGTTTATTAAAGAGAACATACAGAAAAATGTTGCCCCAAAGTAGAGAAAAAAAGGAACTAAATATTCTTCCATAAATTAACAGAACAAGAATGAAGAAATCAACTCAGCGAAGACCACAAAGAAGAGCAAGAACCCAAAAGAAGAGAT